GGTAAGTGAATGACTTGCAGGCATTCTCTCATTGGGTCCTTCCATGTACAAGTGGACCTTCTATGTATCCTTATCGATAAGAGCCGCGCAACACCGTGCAGGCGTGGGGGGTCCACTCATCTCGAGTTGCGCCTTCCCCATTTCCGCTTGAGATGTGTGGGGAAGGGGGGCATTTTTGGGGGAGGAGCAGCTCAACGCGCCCATCCCCCGCGGTATGCCAGACACCTGAGGCGCAACTCTGCCAATCTCCAATTCCATCTCATCTTGCGCCCACCTCTCGTCTCCATCTCACCGGCTGTCGCGAATATCTTCAGCTCGCTCTGCGCAACTTGCTTGGCGTGCCACAACGTACCCGCACCCCTTGCTTATGAGAGTATCTCCACCTAGAAAGGTACATACGGGCTCAGCAAACCATAAATACGAGCTACGCTTAAGGATCAAGCGTCTCTCTTGACGATGCTCTCATGACCGTTGCCGATGGCGAGCCATCCATCTCCCGGCCAGCCTGGTGGTGCTGCAGCCAACTACAAGCGTGCAAGTCGCAGAGGTGCTCCTCGGCGGTTCGTCTGCGAACACCCGGGTTGCGACAAGTTATACTCGAGAGCAGAGCATCTCCAGAGGCACCAGTTGAACCGTGAGTCAACTCCCCTGTCCAGTCGCAGCCCTCGTAATGTCACAAGGTGCGGCCTGACGCCTCTCCATAGACAATCCCAAAGAAATCTTCATTTGCGATATCCCTGGTTGCGATCAGAGGTTTGTCCGCCTTGATCTGCTGTCGCGTCACAAGAAGCGTCACTCATCATCGTACATCCCTCGAAATCGCGCGCCCAGCTTCGCCTCTGCCGCATCTGGCAACCAATCCGGCCCGGCTGTGTCATCTCCGACTTCAGGCGCACCACCACGGCCAGCATTTCCTCAGCCTTCAACAAGCGGTCCTCATGATGCCGCCATCCTGCTTACTCCCGACTCTGCTACGCCCACGCCGACAACGGGTGCATCAAACCCGTCCCTTGCTCAGCATGTCAATAGGATCAGCCAACCTACCACATGGCCGTCCATCGATGATATGGCTGTCGAGATGATGCGACCGAAGCCCGCTTACTACGGACGCGATCAGATGACCCTCCCCGAGGCACCGCCTCTTATGCCGTCGTTTGACCCGAGAGGATTCCAGCCCGACGAGGCACTTTCACGAGAGAACTTTGCCGTCTGGCTATTTGACTCTCAAGCAAGCTTCAGCGACTTTAATGGAGTCGCCAACCTTCCCTTCCTCGAAGGTGGCCTTGAATCAACTTTCAACAACAACATTCCCTATGACTACGAGTCACTGACGAGTCGTTCACAGCTTGATCCGACGCCACCTCGGCAAGTTGAAGTTAGTGACGAACTCATCAGTGAGCACCGGCGGCAGGAGGTCCTGAGGTGGTTGAAGGTCTTCCGACACAAGCAGCCCAAGTACGAACCGCGGATAGTCAGTCTTGTACAGGAGAGCAACGGAGACTTGCCTGCTCTGAGTCTCGAGATGATGAGAGATTGTTTACAAGAATATTGGAAGAGGATCTCGCCACGCTTGCCGATCGTTCATCAGCCAACATTTTCTTCGAACCGCTGCTCCATCTTCTTGCTACTCGTGATGATTGCTTTGGGAGCTGTGTCATTGAGCAGCAGAGACTCAACTGGCAACTTGGAACCGTACGGGGGGCTGGCGGACGTGATTATTTCCAGCAGTCGATGGGAAATTCTTACTCACGAGGAAGCTTCGGCGCCGGTGGGCCTGTCCATAGCTCAAGCAATGCTGTTGCTCGAGTTCTACGAGAAGATATTCTCTTCCAGACGCATGCACGAGAGATCGCATATATACCACTCGGCTCTGTTGAATCTTCTTAGGAGAGGAAGCCCTCTAATCGGACGAGCAGGAAGCGAAACGCCCCCAGAGGAAGAAGCCCCGGCGCTGAACGAAGGACCCTCTTCAGACTCAAGAACATGGTGGATTCGATGGGCCGAGAGCGAATCCATGCATCGCGTCGTTTTTGCGGCCTTCATGATGGACACTGTCCATGCAGCCATGTTCGGCCACAACGCCGATATGGCTCCGCACGAGATACGACTACCTCTACCATGCGACGATGGCTTGTGGACAGCCGCGACCCCGAATGTCTTCCGACAACTCGACGGGAACTACAGAATGTACGGCATCAAGCAGGTATCCTTCCTCGATGGATTGAAAAGTGCTTTACACGGGCAGGAAGTCAAGACACACACTTTTGGACGCATGATTATCATGTCGGGGCTGCTCAGTGTGGGATGGCATCTGTCCCGTCGAGAGTCTCACCTCAAGTGGCTTGACCTGCGCACACCCAGCACGGAAACCCACGACAGCTGGAAAAAGATACTTTTCCGCGCTTTCGACGAGTGGAAAGAGTCCTTTGACAGCGCTGTTGGTGCGAACGATCTTTCCGAAGGGCTAGGACAGCCATCAAGCTCCAATGGGCCCATCCACTCGGCCGCTGTTCTCTACCACCTAGCCCATATCAGTCTTCACGTTGACATCGTCGATTGTCAGGTATATGCCGGCGCAAAACGATTGGTCGGTCGCAAAGTCTCAACTCGCGATCATGCCAATGCTGTTGCAAGAATGAGGACCTGGTCGAATGCACCATCCACTCGACATGCCGTTCTGCATGCTTTCAGACTACTCTACCGGGTTCTTGTGGACCACAAAAACCCAAAACGGCGGACGAGTAGCTTCGGCGCTTTGCCTGAACCGGTTTCTGTTTACTACTCCTGCCGCAGCGAGCCGGATCCTCATCGGCCGTGGATCATGTACTATGCGGTCTTGACAATATGGTCTTTTGTACAGGCTCTGGGCATCCCCAACAGGAATACGCCCCTGGGAAGGTATAGCGAAATTGCTCGTTACCTGGCCTACTTCTCGAATTTGGAAGAGTTGAACGAAGAGGCCACGAGGGACCTTAACGAGAGGTTGCCGGAACTATTGGACCTGCTCGAGACAAGCTTTAAGCAGTCGCACTCGGAGCTTCTCAGGGAGGCCAGTGAAAGGCTCAAACTTTGCCGCGAGATGTTAGTATGAACGTGGTCTTGCAATTCCGATGAGCTTCTCGGTGATGGGGATGGTCCCGAAGAAGGCTTTGCCAGCACGCAAGATGAGAGACGAGTGCTGTATGAGTCAGGTGCGGGAAGAGCCTCCGTAAGACTCGCCAGTGTCGCGTCGAAGCGCAATGGCGCCTGAGCAGCGACGAAGCCGATGATGGATGTATGTTGCGGATGCTAGGTCTCGTGTCATTGACCATGTGGGATGTACTGACTCGCTCTTTAGAACCAAAACTGGATTGCCCGTGACTCTCAAAGTCTCGACTCAGCCCTTGGCTTGGGCAAGAAGGTCCTACGTTGCCAACAACTATGTTCTTACCAAGGATTCATGGCCAAATTATAGTGTTTGCGGCCTCCGACGTGAATGTGTTAAAGGGCCATCAGATGTTTGTGAGCATCATACTGTCCAAGACAGATAGGATTGTACAGGATATGAATCTGGTGTAGGGGTATTATCCTCGACGGCTTTTGAGAAAAAGGAGTAATCCTGAGACTACTGATAATATACAAAGAGAACTTGAACTATTCGTCAACGAATATCTGTTACAGGATGAATGAGTTACAGTGTGTGCTCGGCTTGCTTCACTCCCGTCGCTTCTTTCTATCACAACATGGCCGCTACTCCGCGGCACCAACACGCATACGACCTCATCGCAAGCCATACCCTTGCGGATGAGCTTTCCAAGTCAGGAGCCAGGTCCTATCCCTATGCAGCCGCACCGGCAGCAGCACCAGCCTGCGGGAGGAAGAAGGCGAACTCTCCATTCATGTTGGCAACCTTCAAGGTCAACTCATTCTCCTCGGCTTCGAATTCGAGTTCACCGAGAGCCGGGTCGATGATGAAGGCGTTGAGTTCCGGGAAGAGGCGGCCTACTTGTCCCTTGCTGATATCGAGGGTATCTACATCTCATGTTAGCCCACCACTGCCAGTCGAGCAGGACTCAAGAGCCTGACTCACTTCCTGGGTTGAGAATGTAATCTATCTTTGAGAGAGTCACACCCTGTGCGCCTTCCGCGAGGCTGACTTTGTACGACACCGCCTCAATAGCGGTGAAGCCCGCGGGAGGCGGCGCAGGAGACCTGTTTTCTGTTACGGTGAGGGTTCGACCGACTGCGTTCTGGAACTCGACCTCGAAACGTCCATTTTTCTGCGAGTAATGAGCATCAGATATTTTGCGTCTTGAGATACCCTTTGATGAGAGTCTGAGACTTACTGCAGGAGGAAAGAGAACATCTTGCTTAACATTCGCGCCGCCTAACCGCACGGGAACGATGAATTGCCCTTCAATCTCCTTTTCGTTGGGATCCTTTGCCTCCTCGCCGCCGGCAGCGCCGCCTTCTGCTCCTCCGGCTGCACCTCCTTCGGCTGTGCCTCCCTCGCCTGCGGCAGCTTCTTTTTCGGTGGCTTTTGAGGGAGTTGTCGCGGCGCTTTGTGCGATGCTTCGGTCTGCGAGACTGGAATCCGTAGAGGCTTGTGCGATACCGTTGTTTCGGGAGGATATATCAGTAGTCGAGATTGGCAGTGACGCTGCCACGAGGAGTTGGCATGAGATCGTGGCAAGTGTTGAGAGCCTCATTTTGAAAACCGAAAACGACAAAAAGTGAATTAATATCAGAGTGAAAGGATAGATTGTGAAAGAGATCAACGCGGTTGACTCGTAATAGCGGGCTTGCCGCGGAGAAGAAGAGTTGGTGAGAAGTGAAGTATACTGGAATGGGAACAGAAAAGAGCGCAACCATCACGATGAACGCCGGTGGGCGGCACCTAGGTACTCAAAGAGCTTATATGCCCAGACGAACTGATTTCGCTGATAAGATTCTCTCGTCTACGACAGACATGCGCGGGGTTTGGTTGTGAGGGCCGCCGACTCGCCAAGAAGGACGGCATCATGAAACCCACACAAGACCGCAAGGATGCGCAAGTAGACGAGTCCTCCCCCACCATCCGCGCCGCCAAGGTGCGCCAAGGTGCATCTCGAGAGCCTCATGATGAACAAATGCGGTAATTTGGGGGGTTTGTCACCTTGCGTGCTGCGCAACGGCGGGCGGCTGGTCATGCCAGTTTGTCGTTGAGCTCCGGCATTGGCGCTGCTTGGCGGTGTGGCAACTCGTCTCTACTTGTCGTTTTCGGGTGGTAACTCATGCGGGGCAGAAGCATCGACCACTGGAACCAACGACGAAGCGATATTGCAAAAGTACGAGTTGATGTTGAAGTCGGGTTGTTCAAGAACCGTTCCATTAGAGGTGAGTTACGGGTTATGTTGATCGTGGCAGAATGGAGATGCTACAAAGACTAAGGTTGCAATCCTCTGATGTTCGTCTGATTCCCATAAACATCGCTAGAATTTCGCCGTTGTTAGTCGACACTAGTCACCACAAACCCTTGCTTTACTACCGCCCTTTCTGAACTGTTCCCTAACGATCCTGAATTTCGGCTGATTTTGAAGGGGTAGAATCCGAACCCCTTCACCAAGTCTCAGATGACAGCTGTCGTAGGCTAAACTTAGACTCTCAAACGTGAGCGATCCTTTGGTCGAATCAGCACGCTGAAAGACCAACGGACCCCCTGTCCTGGCCCCCAACTGCCAGGGTGTCCAGCACCAGAACAGGCCAACAGCAACTCTACCCAGGCCGGCGGATAGCGCTCATGCGACCAGTTGCTCCGTTCACCGTAGCGCTTGCGGTGCTGCGATGCTTGCGCGAGTTGCCGCGCCGGCTCAACTTGCACCAGACTGAAACGCGGGCGTTGGATGGCGCCATGGAGCTGGTTCAGGTTTGCGCAACCGGAACCCCCCTGGTTCTGATCAACTCTTGGATCGAGAATTCCTTCTCTTTTGTGCGCTTGGTAATCTTGGTAAAAGCTTCTTGTGCTCGAGGCGAGAATTAGAGCAGCTGGGCTTGCTTTGAGGAGCGACTACACAAGTTACTGAAGAAGGAATTAGTCGGGTAATTAAGAAGAGTTTTTTTGGAATCTGGAAAACGATGGAGGATGAGTCAGGAGCATTTCTCTCTCCAACGGCATTTAGTTCGCCTTGGCAATCAGCCCATTTTGACTCGGTCTTCGATTCTGGCAATATCCCGGCGATTGGAGAGCTACGGTCACTTGTGCGGCTAAGATTTCGGCCGGGTCGGTTTTCGTCCAAGCTTGACGTCGGTGGTCATCTGCGATTAAGCAATGGTTTCAACGATTGACCTTGAAATCCGACTTGAGGCTGTATTTTTAGCCTGAAGACGAGTGAATGTATTTCGCCATAATCTCTACTCGATAAGAATGTTTGAGTTAGTACATACCCTCAAGGATGAGGCTCAAGTAAAGACCTTGGCCGCTGTGGTGAGATTAGATCTTGCAACTTTTTGATAGAGTAGGCAGTATGGCTTGGTTGCAATAGCTGCCTCTTAGAATACAGTGTCAATAATGATGAAGCATAACACAGAGTTTCTCATTCACGTTGAGGGTGCGTTACTTTCTAAATCAAATGCTTCGGGCTGGCTAAGTCGCTCAAGAGCATCCCGGACAGCAACGCCGATGCCCACGGCAAGCTTCCCCCACTGTCGGATGGACAGCACGGCCAACATCGGCTTAAAAGCGGGGCCTCACCGAAGTCCGCTACCGGCAAACCCGGCACATGTCTCCTGCCTATCTTGGTCGTGCAACTCTCACTTCACGTAAGCATCATCTCAACCCCCTCAACCGACTGGTGACTCACGTGTGGCCGCGTTCTTCCACGACGACTTTTGAGTGTCTTTCCCACCATCCAAGATCGTACAATTACCTTCTTGCGAATTATCTGCGTCATGGTAACTAAACGAGTGGCCCGGTATGGCGACTGGGAGAGCCCAATCACTGTCGATACTGTGACCTCCAAGAGCTGGTCTGTATCATCGCCTCGAGTCCATGTAAGTGATCTGGTAGACGTGACGACCAATCGAAGTGCATTTACTGATTGATGCAAAGCGTCAATCGGGACGGGCGTACTTCATTGAGTCGAAGGATGATGGACGTAAGGTTTTCGTTGAGATTACCAAGAACGGTGGCCTCAAGGATCTCTTACCAGCACCCTACAGCGCCGGCAACACAGTTTACGAATACGGTGGCTCTACTTACGACGTCGCCGCGGATGGTCGCATCATCTTCTCCAACCGTGACAACACCGTCAAGTCCCTTGATGTCGACACTGACAAAGTCGTTGATCTGACTGGCGACTCAAAGCTGCGATACTCCAACTTCAGCGCCAACCCCACGAACCCCTGGGTCTTGGCAAACCAAGAGGATCACACCATCAACACGCCTCACGAGATTCGGAATTACGTCGTCGCTATTCATGCGGACACCGGCGAAGTCAAGCGCGTTGTTGAGGGCGCTGACTTTTACTACACCCCTCAATTTAGTGCTGACGGGAAGAGGCTGACCTGGATGGAGTGGAATCAACCCAATCTCCCATTCGCATCCGCCAAGATCTTCGTTGCGGATTGGACGTCAGAAGCGACAGTCGAGAACGCGGTCTTGGTTGCTGGCAATAACCGAGATGGCGCTGCTGAGCCTCGATGGGGCCCGGACGGAAGTTTGTTCCTCGGCATTGAGGTTGATGGGTTCCGGAGACTGTTCCGTCTAGCCCCTGGTGCCGAAAAGCCTACACAAGTCAAGTTGAGCGGACTGGATAACGCTGAGATCGGAGAGATCAGATGGTATCAGGGAAGGTTGGCAGACACGAAAGCTTCCAAGTTGCACGACGTATAACTAACATCGCCATAGTCAAACGTACGCACCACTTTCGGAACGTTACGTGGCTGCGGCAGCGATAACTTTCGGCGAGGCCCAGCTCATCCTCATTGACCTTGAGAATAACGATTGGAAACCCACCGGGTCATCTGGCATTTGCGGCATTGTCAACGACGCGATGGCTCGCCTGGACGACAGATCCTTGCTCCTTGTTGCGGATGAGGCCGGCTCTCCATCTGCTTTGTACAAGATCGATATTATCAGTGGAAATACAACGATTCTTCGAGGAACCACAGACGAAAAGCTGGACGATGCACTATTTTCAAAGCCGGAGCTTGTGAAGTTCGAGTCGAAGGGGAAACCATCTCGCACAATCTACAGCACCCTGTGGATGCCAAAGAACCCCAAGTTCATCGCCCCGGACGGCGCGATGCCTCCCTTAGTCATCTCCTCGCATGGCGGGCCAACAGGCTACACCGGCTCTGGTCTCAAGCTGCGAACTCAGTATTTTACTGCACGTGGCTATGCCTATCTCGCGCTGAATTACACGGGCTCGACCGGCCACGGCAGAGAGTATCGCGAGGCACTCTTTGGAAAATGGGGCATCGTCGACGCCGACGACGCAGCTGAAGTCGCCAAGCACTTGGTTAAAGCAGGCAGAGTCGCCAAGGTGGGCATCGTCGGTGCCAGCGCTGGAGGCTACAACGTCCTCCAGGCCCTGGTCCGCCATCCCACAACCTTTGACGCCGGATTCTGCGTCTGTGGTGTGAGTGACGTCAAGAAGCTGGACGAGTCCACGCATAAGCTAGAGTCCGAGTACATGGGCGCGCTTGTTCTGGATCCGGGCATGACAGACGAACAAAAGGAGGAAAGATATCGTGAGCGAAGCCCCCTCTACCACGCCGAAAAGATTGGGGCTCCGCTGTTCCTCCTTCATGGCGTCGCGGATACCGTGGTGCCGATCGAGCAAGCCCGGCTCATCTACAAAGCTGTCAAGGATAAGGGAGGGGATGTGAGAATCAGGGAGGTTCAGGGCGAGGGCCACATGTTTGGTATGCCTGGAAGCCCTCGCCTTTGGCTAGAGGAAGAGGAGACTTGGTGGAGATCATACCTGCTCTGATAAACATTGGGAGAAGGCACTTCTTATCAAGCTTCGATGCCATATTACATTCATTTAAAATGAGGATAAAACCGGACGCAGCATAAGTCTATTAATTCTTAAACTTGTTGGGAGTAAGCAAAACTCTTCTCGCATGCAAAAAGCTGGCAAAAGACCTGAGGACTAATACCAGTCGTCATCGTCGTCGTCGAGTGACTCTCTGCAGATCATCTCAAGATCTCTCTTCTTCTCCTTGCGCCTCTGCTCAGCATCATAACTTGCGGTTGTTCTCTTAAACCAGAGAATACCCCTGTTCGCCCTTCGGGGATTGGTTGGACCACGTAGGTGAGAAAGGTCGATTTTCGGCTGAGTATGAGGCGGCTCGATGTTAGCCGTCTCAGCGTCGTCAGATACAGTGTAATAATACCCAGTAAGCCTCAGCTCGGCACCCTCCTCCTCAGTCAACCCTTCCTCCTCTACGACTTCCCTGAACCATCGGTGCCACATCTTCGATTCGTGGTGACTGGGGTACATACCTTTCAACTTTTTGAATTCTTCGTCCTCAAGGTGCTCTTTCCAGGCAAGTTGCCGTGCTTCTTTGAGGGATGCGGGAAGACCGTAGAACTTGACAGAGGAGTATTTACCCTCACCCAAATCGAGGCGGACGAATCTAGTGTCCTTGCTGTCAATGATGGGGCGGAGACGCCATTGGTAGACATGTTGCTCGTCAAAATTGCGCAAGCACGTCTCTATGATGACCTCGCGAGTGCGACGAAGGAGGTTCTTGCTTTCTCTGGCGCGCGTCTTCCAAATGTCGATGCAAGGCTCCTCGTCAGAGCTTCTCAGCTCCTGAACAGTTGGCAGTCTGGACGAAGTCTCGGCGTAAATAGTAAAATGCTTATGGTCATAACACTCTTCAATATGCGTGCCGGCGGGGTATGAAAACAGATCATCCTCCCACTTGCGAAATGGAATGAAGTCGACGAGGTTTGTATTCAGCACGGGTTTCTCTGTCGCAAGTTGATGGAACCCATCGGGGCAGGTTTCCAAAGCAACAGTGGGGACCTCGACCGCCTTCAGGTTTCGGCACCTTATCATCGTCAGCCAGAATAAGTCCCATGGCACCGGGCCACATCCCTGTGTGGTATCACTGGCGAACCGGACATTGCAAGGTGTACCGCGCTGGTCAGCACTCAACACAGTGATGGAAGAGATGAGGTCTCGATATTCTGGCCGGACGAGATGGTTCAGGGCTGTGATGGCCTCGTGGCCGCTGAGAAAACTAAAGTTGTTTTGGGACCAGAAGAGGGGCGCTGCTT